CGACCAACTAGAGATAAATTCGAATCATTCGAGATAAGCTACGTGCTTTAATAGAGCTTGCTCGCAGATCATTTTTTCCACTTATTCGTATAATTCCTAATCCCTTATAATGGCCCTGGTACGCTCGCTGCAGAAGAGCGCCGTGTTTTCCACGCGACTTGCTATTAGATCACGTTTTCAAGGAAATAGTCTTCCATTAATAGCATCGAGGTTAGCTTCTACAATGGCTCCAAAGGTAAGCTTCTCATTGCTGCGAGGGATTCCAACCGACATATGTAAACGAAGTATTGACTAATGACCTGGACAACTCTAGCTCAATGACCCGTCGTTATTCAAGGTCGATGTCTGTTACGTAAACGGCGAATGGGTAAAGGCCGCCTCTGGCAAGACCTTCGAGGTCCACGATCCCGCGACGGGAAAGCTTGTTGGAACTTGCCCCGAATTCGACGCTAAGGACACTGAGAAGGCGATTGCAGCGGCTGCCGAGGCATTCAAGTCCTTCCGTACGAAGACCGGCCGTGAGCGGTCCAAGCTACTACGAAAATGGTACGACCTGGTCATGGAGAACTCGGAGGACTTGGCAAAGTTAATCACATTGGAGAACGGCAAACCTTTGGCGGACGCAAAGGGCGAGGTGAACTATGCCGCGCAGTTCTTCGAGTGGTTTAGCGAAGAGGCCCCGCGGATATACGGCGAGACCATACCAGCGACCATTCCGGGTAACAGAGTAATGACCCTGAAGCAACCTGTGGGTGTTTGTGGACTCATCACGCCGTGGAACTTCCCTGCCGCAATGATCACGCGTAAGATTGGCCCTGCCCTCGCTGCGGGCTGCACAACAGTATGCAAGGCCCCAGGCGAGACGCCGTTCACATCGCTGGCATTGGCGGAACTTGCCCATCGGGCCGGAATACCAAAGGGCGTGGTGAACGTCGTGACCGTACATAAGAATACCCCTGAGGTCGGCGAGACTCTGATGACGAACACTACCATTCAAAAGGTCTCTTTTACGGGCTCTACGGGAGTCGGGAAGCTTTTGATGAAGCAGGCTTCGTCAACTCTCAAAGTCCTGTCTATGGAACTGGGTGGAAACGCACCATTCATCGTATTTGACGATGCCGATGTCGATGCTGCGGTTGCTGGAGCCATCGCGTCCAAATTCCGTTCATCAGGACAGACATGCGTCTGCGCAAACCGTATCTACGTTCAGAAAGGCATCTACGATGAGTTCGCCCAGAAATTCGCCGAGAAAGTTAGGGGCTTCAAAGTAGGCCACGGGTTCGAAGAGGGCATTACCCACGGACCTCTGATCCACGATCGCGCTGTTTCTAAAGCCGATGACCACGTACGGGATGCCGAAAAGAAAGGCGCGAAGATCATCGTGGGAGGACAGAAAATGCCAGAGCTCGGAGAAAATTTCTACCAACCTACGGTAATCACGGGCATGACAAAGGACATGGCTATTGCGTGTGAAGAGACATTTGGCCCTGTGGCCGGCCTGTTCCCCTTCGAAACCGAGCAGGAAGTAGTGAGCCTAGCAAACGCTGCCGAGGTTGGATTGGCTGGTTACTTCTTCTCGCGAGATTTGGAGAGGATAACTCGGGTGGCCGAAACACTCGAGGTTGGCATGGTAGGCGTTAACACGGGTTTGATTTCTGATGCAGCCTCGCCCTTTGGAGGTGTCAAGCAATCTGGATTTGGCAGAGAAGGATCCAGGTACGGCATTGAGGAGTATCAACATATTAAGACCATCACATACGGCGGTATGGGCAAGCCTTTACAGAGCTAGGAATATGCTAAGGCGGAAATAAACCTGTAAAATTGAACTGTGTATTTACTTGTAGAGTGGCTCAAGGTCAAAGCTTATGAAATTCGGTGTTCTCGTTTGACAAACGTACCTAATTATCTAACGTAGATGCTTCGGAGAGGAGTCCCACTATAGGAAAGACCCGCTTTAATGCATACCCCCCAATTTTCACTGGCCCGAGAGTTCCCAATCCTCAAAATTTCCGACGAGGAAACTCACACAGCTCCCATATCACCAAACCACATCAATTGAGCCTTATGATACGCCAACCGTTACACTCGGCCGTCGGCCGCTCGAGGGCTGAATTCAGCCGAGTCACCGACGGCATCGCAGCCTCGCTACGAGCATTCTCCACCGCCCAGCAACTCGCTGCAGTACAAGATGGCAACAATGAAATAACCTCGCGACCGACGGGAAGGCAACGGGCCGCCGACGCATTCTCCGACCTCATGGACTTAAACAATACAAATACACGACGGCCCTCCGCCCCAGTTGATAACGTCATTAGAAAAATCGACTTACGGTCCGAATCCGCTTCCCTACCAGCTCGCAGCGCTTCCTCGACTGGCGGCCCCATCATCATCCGCGGCGGTCTACGAGGGGGCTTCAGAGGCCGAGGCGGAGCAACGGGCCTGAGCTTCAGGCCTGGTGGTGCTCCACATGGGGGCGGCATGATGGGCGCCGGACGCCGTGGGGGAGGACGAGCACGTGAGGGCGGGCGCCGCGGCGGCGAGGGAGGACGATCACGCAGGCAAGAGCGAGGAGAAAAAGACGAGGCCGACGCTGCTGCGGACGAGGAATGGTCCCCCGAGGTCTTGGCCATGCGGGAGGCCACAGAGATCGGCTCGACGCACCAGTTCGACCCTTCGTTCTCGAAGAGCGACCTCGCGGGCTGGGGCCCCGGCATGGCGGCCACCGGATCGAGCTTCGGGAAGGACGAGACGGTGCTGCGGCAGGCGCGCATCCTCGGCGGTGGCCAATACTTCCATCCCCTCCACATCCTACGGGTGGGTGACTTGAGGATGCGGTATTATGGTGACGACACCAAGGGCTTGTTCTTCCCCAGCGAGGAGGCGAAGGAATGGTCGGCAAAGACGCTAGGTGTGAGCAGCTTTTCACCCGTACCCCAGGAGACCAAGGATGCTGTTCTCCAGGACGCCCTTCTCGGCACGTACCAGGGCCCAGAGTACGCCGACACTAGGGATACGCTAGGTACAGTGCGTAGCTATGTCAGGAGGGACGCTTCGTGGAATACAGACTCAGCGCGGCGTATCGAGGAGAAGATTAGGAGTTTACTACCTGGTGGGAATGCAAGTCCTGCGAATGCTACTAGAGGCGCGACGACGGGGGCCTAGAGATGAATGAACAAAGCTTTCTTCAATATAATTAATATTGAAGGTATGGGCTAGACAATGAGGATGAATGTTTATGAGACATCTGGCTTTCGGCCCTGGCATTACGTGTACCATACCCAATTTTGTAAAAGAACAATACTATATTATGTACGGACCGCTAATGACAGTTTTACGCTACCCCCTCTGGCGCGAAAACAGGCTACTAGATAACACCATGTTCCGCAGCAGGGCCCTGGGCAGTCGTCTTTACTTAGACGAGCCCGACGCGCTCACATATCGTTCTATTTTGACTCGGCGGCCTTGACGGCGCTCTTCTCCACCTCGTCAATCTCCGTCATGGCAGCCTTAATGACCTTGTCCAGCTCCTTGTCGGCGGTCCTCTTCAAGTCGGGGCCGAGGGCGCCCTCCTTCTTCCAGGTGACATGCTGCTTGTCGCGCCTCTGGCGGGCGGAGCGGACGCGGTCGCGCCACTCGTTGGCGACGGCCTTGGCGCGGCGGACGAGGTCCTCGGGGCGCTCGGGCTCGATGCGGAGGACGAGCTCGAGCTCGTTGTCGGGGTCGCGCTGGGGCTGCTGGTTGAACTCGGGGCTCGCCTGCACGGCGCTCATGATGGGCTTGACGTAGGCGGCCTCGTGCGCGAGCAGCGAGACGGCGCGCCCGCCGCGCGGCACGACCTGCGCCAGCTCGCGCAGCGGGTAGGCGTCGCCGGCCTTGCGGTCCACCGTCACGCGCAGCGCGCCCACGACGTCCGGGTCGAAGCGCCCGCCCGTGTGCAGCTTCTTGAAGATGGCCTTGAAGTGCTCCGCGTGCCGGGTCAGGCGCGACTCGACGTCAGCGAAGTCGAGGGGCTCCTCGGGGTTCGGCTGGGGGTGCTTGGGGCCATCCTCTGTGCTGTCGCTGGCGCTGCTGCTGCTGCTGCTGCTGCTCTCGGCGTGCTTCCCGTTGGATTTACCACGCCCGGCGTCTTCCTTCTTCTTCGACTTATGGACGGCGGGAGACGTATGGAAGGCTCGTGTGCTGTGCGGGAGGTCTAGTGGTGACCTGGGAGGGGTAGATACGAGGGGTGATCGCGAATATCTCTGGTAGGTGGGTGCTGCTGCTACACCTACAATGCTTGTACGAACCACATCGTAGCTGCTGTTATCAGGGTCAGCGATGATAATTGGAGGGCCAATTGAAGAGACATACATTCCCCTCGTCTGGGATCGTGCAAAGCCTTGGCGTAGGCAAGTGCGGGCTGCTGCGTTGCTCATTTTTGTGCTAGGTTATATATTTCGAGGCACCCACGTCAAATTGCTTCAAGCTTCGTTCCAAGCTGTTACACGCCAAACCCACACACAGCGACTTATCTAGATAGGGATCTAGATAATAGTACCTAGGTAGATAGCCCCGCCTACAGTGTCTCGTACCTGCCAAATACTGTCCAACCCCCCAACACCTCGTGATTTTCTTGCTTTTATAGGCATTATATTATTGACCATCGCTATTACTCACAAATACTGTAGAGAAAGTACTAACGCAAGGCAATCTGCAAATATACATCTAGTGGGGCGAAATAGTTAAGTTTTAGGTACCTTCGAGTTCTGTCATCTTATAAATCCATAGTGTACATCCAGTATCTAGTACACATCTATGACTGATTTCCTATCCGCTATCAGCTCTGATTTTTCTCAAGATTTAACGCACCTGGATATCCTATTCATTCTAGTGTAATGTTAATTGGACTTGACATGGTGATCTTTTTAGGAATTAGGTTCTACAAAGCCTTCCATGGGCTGTAGACGAGAGAGTCATTAGATGCATTACAGTAGGGTTTTTCATATCGCATTAGTAATGTGGTTTTCGTGGCCTAGTGGTTAGGGCGTCTGTCTTACAGGAAACAACATACTGATCACAGAAGATCCCCGGTTCGATCCCGGGCGGAAACATCCTTTTGTCTAATTAGACAATCATGTAATTGTTTTTCCTTTTTGTAAACATACTAAGCTAAGTAACTCGGTGTTGGTAGGTTTATAGGTGTGTAGGTCGTTTGTTGGTTCTCCTTTTGCGTACATCTAATTATCTAGCACTCTATGTTACTAATCAAGCTCCTCTGTCACTCAAAGCGCTAGATGGTCTACCATCAAGGTTACCTTACTTGCGTTTGCCGCAAGATGGTCAGAGCCCGTTTAGAGTAGTTGAGTAGGTCTTAGATTAAAAAAAATGTACGCGTCCACGCCAAATTAAAGAACTACGTCTAGGGTCCAGGTGCTAAACAACGGAAGTAGGTGGGAAAGTAAAGTAGTTGCATTTAAACGGCCCCTAAGTGAAGTCACATATCGCTAGGTAGCATGTAAGCTGTACATTAAGTGTGTCGTATGCTTAGATATTCCAGTCAATGATAAATCTTCGAAGATTAACGGGAAACTAATAGGGCAGGTTGAGGATTGGTAGTCTGCTCCTAGGTTAAAAGGTGGTAGTATTGTGTTATAAGATCCTTATAGTCATACATTACACAGAAGCGTGATAGGTTGGGATATATGCCTATTTGCGTTTAATTATTCTAAAATGTGAAGGAGGAGGCATATTCTTCGATTTTAGTATGAAGAGTACTTTAAAAGCAAGTGATGGACCATGGATGGGGTCTATCTCGTAGAAAATGAAGACTTGACAAAAAACTAAAAATAAGTTTCAGTTTAAAGCCAGGTATCAACACTTAGAAATTTATTCGGCTTCAGTTCTCAACAAAATTACTTTAGCTCTTCTTGATTCCATGTATATCTCAAGATAAAACTATACATATTGCCTCTCTAATGATACGAAGGATCACTACTCTCTATTTTGTGACATAGTTGATAGCACAAAACTTTTCTATTTCAAACAAGTTTATCTTCGCTCTATTTACGATCAAGAAACACCCCAGGCCTCAATCCCAACTCCTACAACTAAGACTCTCTCCTGGTTTTTCTTGTCCGCTAGTCTTTCATCTTCATCTCCGTACCACTCCTTCACGACCTCCAAATCACCAGCATCTGCGACGCCGCTATATCGATTATCAAGCAAGTGAACCCTAGGAGACATAGATTTCCAGTCGACAAGTCGCCACATCTTGACGCGCTGGTCGTTGCTCGCGGTAACGATCACTGCATCCCGGTCTTCGTTCTCGAGCCGTACTATCCCGACGCCGGTTACTGCAGCAGCATGGGCGGAACGGACAATAAACTTGTTCCTGACCTCGTACTGGGTTAAAGCTTGCCCCTGGCTAGGAAGGGGGAACTGAGGGGCATGTGTTGGATCTGGCAGTAGAGCAGAGACTGAGCTCTGATCAGGTAAGAGGTCAGGATCCAGCACAGCACGAGAGTCTGTAGTCACATGCTGTTGAGACTTCGACTTGGTGGATGGAGCTAGAGAAGGTGAGTGTAGATATAGTACTCCGATTGCGTCATCGTCGCCGCCTGTGACGATTAGATATGAGGTCCCAGCATCCGTAGCGATACTACGCATATCTAGCGATTTAATGCTACTTTGGTGGAGTTTCGTCACAAGTATATTCGTCGAATCCTTAGTTTCATCCCCAGGCGATCGTATGTCAGCAAACACAGTTAAATGACCATCAGTGGCAGCTGTCAGAACCTGCGGGTAATACCCATCCGTGAAATTCAAATGCCTGAGCTGCGTAGGACAGGCACCGGTATACATCCGCCTACCTAATAGCTGAAATCCATGCCGCGCGGAGTAGAGGTAGCTCTGCACTGTAGAATTTGAGAGCGACATCGAGATACAGAACCGAGGTTCTGTCCGCGGCTCCCCTGATCTGGCGTCAACGTCCTCAGCTCCATCGTAAATACTGGTATCGTCATCTAAGCACTCCACGTCAAAATCCGTAATTCGGAGATCGCCCACTTCGGTGCGATCAGGGAACACAGCCTCGCATACGACACCAAGAGGACAGATATCGCTTTCCAGTGGGGTAACGCGCCACGCGTAGAGCTCTTCATTGCCGCCGCTGCTGAAGAGGTATTGATCCTTGAACCATTTAAGCTTCTGGATCCCAGTGTTGTGTTTTTCTAGAGCGAGCAAGCAGCGCAGCGGCTGCTCCCCCTGAGACCAGCTGCTCTCTCGAAGCTCCCATATCCGTATCACGGTATCTTCGGCACCCGTAGCCACATATTTCTTGGAGGCCGACACTGACTTAATCTCGCGGCCGTGGCCGCCTACCTTCAATGGGAGATGTGGCGCGCGTGTCTGTGAGAATATCTTCATCTGCGACGCCTTGGTGCAGACGAACCTCACTCCATCTGGATTCCCTTCTATTTGTACCTGGTCGAACACACGATGTCCGCCACCGCAGTCAATGATTGCGATTTCCCTCTGCTGCGTCACATTCCATACTATGAAATACTTGCTTCGAAATCCATACAGAATGAGGTCTTGTTTCCCATCCGGCTTGTCGAACAACCATGACCCTTCAATCATGGGCCCAAATGGTGGCCTCGTCTCATGAAGTAGATGGACTTGAAAGTTATTTGCAGTATCGAGGATCTCGTAGAGTCTGTATTTCCCGTCGCGGGAAGTTACAAGGAAATAAAGTGGCGAATGTTCGGAATATAGAGGGAGCGGAAGGATCGATGTGATTTTGTCACCGATCTTAACTTGTTTCGTCAAACGAGTAGAGTAACTACCATCGGTGGTCCGGTTACAGATTGCAATACTACCGTTCCTGGAGCCTATGATGAGGTAGTCATGGCACCACGCAGCAGTTGTTAATATGAACCCATCAGGTGCTCTTGCCTCTGTGCGTTGTATTAAGTTGTGATTTTTATCAAGACGGAGAATTTCTGCCCTCGCACTCCCATATACAGTGATGAGAAGTTCAATGTGTCCATGATACTCCTGTTCAGGATTGGAGGGTGTGTGAGGAGCGGAAGCTAAAGTATCAGAAAGGCATATAATTTCTGTGATCTTCCGCTCTGCTTTATGGATTGACCGAAGCGAATCGCCGCTCGCCTCATGATAGTAAAATAGCTCGCCGTTAGGAGCGCCAATAAACGCCGTCGAAGTTCTTCTAGAACTCTTGAGAATAGTGTATGATTGTATGGTAGTTCGAATTGCATCAGAGATTGTAAGCTCTTTCCACGCTGTTTCGGTGTCGAAAGTGCCAAGGAACAGGCGGCCTGATCTTGTCGTGATCAGTAACCTGTCGCCTGTGATAAATGTGAAGCTTTGAAACATTTCCCTTCCATTTCCATGCTTGAAAGACGAGATGAAAGGGGTAGCTCCTATGTTTTGGTGCTGACACTCCTCTATAAGCGATATTGGAGATACATCGATTTGCTGAATAGACCGCGGGTAATAGCCAATATCGCCTATCGGATTATCTAGGCTTCTGAGTGTGTGAAAGGGGTCGATATCCATGAGCGCTATCTTGCCATCTTCACCGCCAGTAGCTATTAGAAGACCGTTTTTATTGGAAATCATGGCGTGCGACCAAATTTGCTTCCCATTGTGGTTTGAAAAGGTTTCGTGGTGTGTTAACTTAAGGGGAGGTTGGCTAGAGCTGTTTGATACTCCTATTTTGGGTAGACTTGGATTCGTCTCGTGACCAGCTTCCAGCTTGAGATGCCACCTTTGCATAGTAGCATCCTCCCCGAACGAATAAAGTTCAATCATGTCTTCCCCATTAAGTTTGCCCGGGCTCCTTATCTCGACTTGCCATATCCTGGATATATGGCCCATAGCCATCGCGATACACCTAGACTGGCTATTGACCAACCCTATTGAGCCAACGATAGAGTCGCCAAACCCAGTTTGCCTTGCATCGGATATTTGTGTCTCGTACTCATTATTTTTATTCGTAGGTTCTTCGCCTCTTTCTGTGATATCCCAAACTCGGATCGTCCTATCGTCACTACAACTCGTGAGCAGTCTGATGGTTTCCCCGGAACTCGTGAGTATCTCAGGCGATATGTGAACGCCAAAAATTGAGCCTTCGTGGCCTGAGAAAACGAATAAGACCTTGCAGCTAGCTGTTTCCCTTATTTTTTGCGTGTCATCTTCCCCCGTATCGTTATTATAGTTCTCTGTGCCAATATTGGGTCCAAGATGACACTTCCAAACCACAATCTCGCCGAACACCGTACCGGCAGCCACGAGCACACAGTCCCGCCCGACCCAGAAAAAATTACCCGAGTATAAGATCGGCCGCGAAGGCGACAGTACTTGTCCTAACATCAGGGTATTCTGACCTGCGCTTACATGCCCCTGGATGACCTCGTTATGCGCCGTAAGAAGAACGATGTGGTTATCGTCGAAAGGCGAAATACGGCCATCGAATATCCAATCTGGAGCTATAGCTTCGGGCGCAGACAACGCCGTGCCTGTTGATCTACAATTCTCTAGAACATGACTGCGCATTCTGTCGTTGCCTTTCGCAGGGTCGGGAGAAACCAACTCTTCGACGATGCGACCAGGCAATACTTTGACGGAGGAGCCGCCCCAAACAAGAATCTGGGGGGGATTACTGGTACCGTCTTGAGTAGCAGGGGGTACGGAAAGGCCATGGATAGGCTGCGCTTGGAAGACAGGTAATCTTCCGCAAAGGCGTGAAGCCGCGACATCATAGATCTGAATATCTGTGTCTTCAGCCGCTAGTAGGTATTTCTTATTACCCAACGTCCAGAACGCAAGCGCCGTGATTGGGTTTAGCACATACTCACGACGGAGTCGGCCGGGAGGTGCCGCCTATAATTAATGGATATTAATAACTGCGCGATATAAAATATCTACTCTTTTTCATACATGTGAAGCATCTGTCATGTTGGGTCTTTTGATTCCATGATTCTTCGGGGTTTGGTGGGACGGGTCTTGTGGGGACTTGGGTATCACTTTAGTGAATATTTTTTTTTCCCCCGACGAACAAAAATAAACTTACCTCGTGAGACATTATAAT